AAATATTCTATGCAACGCCTTTCGAGTACTCGACTTACTGTCGTCGCAGCAGTCGCCACAGGCAAGCAGAGAAAAACACGAGTGCTATCACCACGACAATCGCTACTATAATGTACTTGCGTGTGAATCCTTTGTTCAACTTTAGATCAGTCAATCTTGCATAATGCACGCTTTCACTCTGTCTTTTGTTGTATCGCATTCATCAAAATCTAACAGGGTGCACCGATACAAAATACGTCTTACAACTAGAGTTAATGCAGTATCGAATAAGGACGAAGCACACATTTAGTGTAAAGGTTAGATAAAGCGCACTTTCTCCAAACAAAAACAAGGATGATTGATAGATAGATAGTAATTTGACGATCGAATAGATAAAAGTATTCATTTTCATCTCACTTGCCTACGGTTCCACACATGTACATGTCGATTATTCATATGGCATTGTTCGCTCGCTTCGCCGAGCTTACGTTTATTTTATTTAGAATGTATATATCTTCTCCAAAATGTCCTTGACAATACATACATATATATAACAAGATACAATAGAGAAGAGAAAAGAAAAAGAATAACAACCACAAAGAGATAGAGAGAGAGAGAGATAGAAAAACATCAAGGAGCAGGAATGAGGGTGAGTCACCGCTAACATTCCTCCCCTCTCCTATTAGATGTGTGTCCTCACACATCCATGAGTCCGTGTATTATATGTATATCAATATCAGCAATTTGTTGTTGGTTTATAGATGATACTTGTCGTAAATATTTTCCATCATATGATAATATGTATACGATGATTACTTCTAATAATTTCATCATGTAAATAAATTGTAAATGTTTGATTATGTCGAAGTTCAAATTTCATAAATGAATTTTCACGAGGATGATTTTAATTTAATTTGTTCATCTTTTTATGTAAACAAAAACATTGTCGATTTCCATTTTCATCAATTTTTGTCATTAATTTAATTGGTTTAAATAAATATTGTTTATCCTTTAATTCATTTTGAAATAATAAATATTAAATACTATCTGTTGATGGTATACCTTGAAAAACGATACCAGTTTATTTTTATTTTTAAACAATTATATGGATAATCAATTATATATTGTTGTTTCGATGTTGGTAATACATAATATGATAATGTTTGTCGAGTTTGATTAAAAATCGATATTTTGATTCAATTGTTAATATGTGTGTACGACCAAGATATTCATGTTTTAAATGGAATATAAAATAATCATTATTCAATAATTTTATAAAATATAAATCAATTGAGCCATTTGTATATAAACGATTATTAATTATGTTTGTTGTATTCATCATTGTAATATTTCGAAATGTTAAATCAATTGTTCCACATTGAATATGTTCACCGTCCTATGGATCAATAAGTATAAATTGTATTTGACCATATTTTAATTTTAAAAAAAACTAAATTTTTTTTTGAAATATTCGCTCAGTTTAAGATAATATTGCTCAGCATCATCTTATGATAAATAATGTTCGGAATCTATTTGTTTATTTCCGAAACATAAATATAATTTGTTCTACTATTGACGTGAATAAATAAGTAGTCGATGATTATTGGTTTTTCTATTGAACATAATGAAGGTTCATATTATTATTTTGTTCTTGTTGTTTATTTGGTGGTGTTATTGTATAATTATCTTTATGAAATAATTTTCCTTCAGAAAATGTATCCAAAGTATCTTGACGTTGATCATCATCAGTTTCATCATCATCATGTTGTGAATGTGCATATGGTAATAGACGACATAATACAAGAAAAAATCTGATGATTGTAATGATGTTTAAAATTATCTGATGATTCATTTAATAATTGAAATTGTTCTTGAAGAAAAAAAAATTGTATTAAATTTTCACCTTGTCCTTGTGAACCATGTGATATTAATAAAAAATTTGTTTTGATGATGTATGACGAACTATTTGATATAGACAATAAGGTAATAAATTAAGAAAAAAATATTCCAAGAAAAAAATTCTTTTTATAAATTTTCCACAATTGATGATATAAGAGCTAAAGATATAGATAATAATTCTGATCCTTCACAACATGCTAATTAATTTTCATCATCTTCTTCATTATCATCATTTATAATAGAGGTATCATTTGGATTGAAATTTTCTTGTTTAAATGTCTGATGTATAATAATAAAATCATTTTTTAAATTTGTTTTAAATGAATTTTGTTTTCGCTCAGATGCTAAACACCAATTAAGACGTATTAATTCTCTAATATGATGATATTGTATTAAGGAATTTTTTAATATAAGATAATCTATTCGGTGTGCTATTAATGTTGCTGCTATTTTTGTTCAACTGACATCGACATATGTTGTTGTTGACCGATAATATTCATTATAGTTAATGGTATTGTTGGTGTTATATTTAAAATTTGTTCTAATGATTCATTAAATGATGATGATGATGATGATGTATTATTTGAATTCGTTAAACATAATTTACTTCAACTATTTTATTCGTTGTGATTAGACGTATTTTTTTTTCTACATACACGCCTATATACCTTCAAGTATACATCATTGATCACATGTTGAAACACGTGCTCACCCTATCTATAATTCCATCAATTCGTGGAATTACGATTAATTATATATTATTATTATCATGAGTAATCATCAAAATAAACAAATTCGTACAAACATGATTTGTGATAATCAACAAAATCCTTATACAACAGCTCAGTCTCGAATTTATTTCAATTCTCATATTCCACCTCCAATATCATCCAATCTTCGTCCTTGCGATTCACCTGCATCGTCTCCTCTTCGTCATTCACATTCTGAACAAGATGATGAAGATGACTTTACATTAGTTACTAATAAGAAACGTCGAAATAATGATAAAAATGCTATTAGTGAATATGATCAAGACAAAGAATTGTTGAATAATTATTATCCTAATGTTTACAAGTAAGGTTTATCGACATTGAAAGTCGATTCACCGGGCCCTAGACTGACGGAATTATGTCACAGATGTCCTTATGTTGTTTAATAAAAATAAATTCTGTTCAATGATGCGTTTAGGACAGATCATTGATATTTGCAAAATGTTGTGTATTACATACTAAAGATATATTCAAACAGTTGCCATAAAATATTGCAAGATGCCAATGTATATGATAAAGCGTATGAGTTAGTTGATTCTAAGGACTAGCAATGGTTATTTATCCCA